TGCCACGACTTCTCACTTCAAAGTTCACAAAGCGCCGCACCTGCCACGAAATCTGCACTTCGAGACTCAATCAGCATTGCGCCTGCTTGATTGGTTGGTTGGTTGGTTGGTTGATTGATTGGTTGAGGTCAACAGCAGGATCCCAGACTCACTCACCCACCCTTCAGTCTCACTCATACTCACACTCGCTCACTACACTCACTCTCACCCACACTCACTCTCACTCGCACACACTCTCACTCTCACCCATACTCACTAACACCCACCTTCACTCTCACTCACTCTCACTCACACTCACACTCACACTCGAACTCACTCACACTCACTCACACTCGCACTCACTCACACTCACTCTCCCACTCTCACTCGCACACACACTCCCACTCTCACCTACACTCACTAACACCCACCTTCGCTCTCACTCACGCTCACTCGCACTCACACTCACTCTCACTCTCACCCACACTCACTCTCACTCACACTCGCACTCACACTCACTCTCCCACTCTCACTCACACTCACACTCCACCTCACCCACACTCACTCACACCCACCTTCACTTCAATGCGTCTAGATCTCTAGACTTTCTGCTTGCAGACCTCACACACACTGTTTGGGGTCTCTTGCCGGGGTAATGCTACGGTCTCCGTACCGCTGGAGAGTTACGCGAAGGCATGCCCTTTGCGGGCGATCGCCTTGTACCACGAAGCAGCCTGCAACACTGACATCTCTCAATCATGAGCACTTCTCCACTTCTTGAAATCAAGAGCTCCTTGCAGAATTCAAGTGAAGAGCTGAAGAGCAACACGTTTTGTGTTGGCCAAGCGGTGAGCATGACCGTTCCGCGATCTTAAGGCACCAGCCTGACGAGCTCGTGAGGAACCCATCCGTCGACCACTTTAGCCGCGCGACGAGGAACATAGCATCCATCAGGACAGGGTGTGTCAAACACGTACCTCACACCACATCATGGTCACCAATCCCCGCAACTTGACCACGTCGCAGAGGGAAAAACGAAGGCGATGCCACACCAAAATCAAGTCTCCGCTTGCCACCAGGACGAGAAGAAACGGCAAATCCACAAAATTCTCGTCCAACGAAGCTGCACGACCTGCTGAAAGGAACCGGGCGAGCTCAGCCTCATCATTCTGTACAGCAGTTGAAATCCTCAAGCAACAACCAGCTGAACCCCAGAACCAGCACATCCACCATACTTCTCGCGTAAGTTGGTGTCACCCGAAAGCTCAATGACCCCGAAGGCCACTCTAGACACTAGACCTATCTGAAATGCCGTGAGGGACACCTTCACGAATTGGCACTTTGGAAAGCAAAGCTGTACTGGTGCGTCCAGCCGCATCACAGGGACAAGCCCCGCCCAAAATGCAGTGGAAGCCAACTCACAGAAGGAAGCACGACCACGCGAAGGAACGGAGCATTCCTGCAAAGCGAACAAATCAAAGCCAAAATCAGTCCAGAAGTCATGTACAGCTGGAGGTTTGACATCACCCGACTGAACGTTAATGGTACCAGGTACCCAACTGCATCACGGCGTGCGAGTCAGAGGTTCACCACTCAACACCCGCCGCGCCGAAGCAAACACACCGGCCAAGTCCTCTGGCGACATGGAACCATCAATCTTCTTTGCTGCTTTCTCAGTCAGATCAAGCTTTGCCAAAGTTCGCTTATCGACGACAGAAAAGGCCAGCGCCACAAGGAAACTTAGCGAGCCGATCGCTGCGCGTATTGACACCACAGGCACTGAGCGCACTGCCAAGCTCAACGCAAAGTCACACACTTGCGACCTTTGCGCTTCTTGTTGTACTGAATGATGTCAGGCCACATGAATGAAATGCACTCATGTTTGCCACACTGCTTCTTCTTCAGTTGAGCCGCACTTTCATTGAGCAATCGAACCCGGCATCGTTGACGACCAACTTTGGTAGCCACATGTGCCGAGCCTTGGATCTTGCTCCAAGTCCGTTTGGGGACCTTCGGATGCTCGTGTTGCGCGCGCTGCACTTTGGCCGCCCAAAAGTTGCGGGAGCTAAGCTGCGCACACTGCTGGGATGCCTTTGGGGCAAGGACACTTCCAAGCAACACCTTCAACGCGGTCTTCAACACGAATCGCATCAGGCATCACGACCTCAAAGTAGGCCAAACTTTTCCTCGATCAGGTTTCTGTTCATGCGCATTCTGATCATCAGCTGCCAGCTCAAGGGCATCAGCAGCACAAGGAGAGGCAGGTTCACTCTGGGCATCCGGCTGCACTCCTAAGGACCACAAACATGAGGCATCTGATTTGCCAGTGACTCGGCGCATGCTTGCACATGAGGATGTCAACACAGAAATTGGTCGCTGCTGCAGTGTGGCATTCTCACTATCAGTACTACCAGTCCACACAGTTCCTGGGCGCAGGTCGTCAGTCCAACGAGTCTTGACTGACTTAGCGTCATCACCGCCACCACGCATAGCATATGGAAGTTTGCCACCCGTGGGGGGCAATCGCGGATCGAAATGAACACCATCCCAGGTCCCACCACAAGCCCACAATGCGCTTCTGCTTTTTGATGTGCAAGGCAACCGCAGGAAACTGCAAAGTGTGTGGTATCACAACGATTTTGACGTCGTAGAGCCGTTCTAGAGCAGCTACTTCAAGGTCACTGGCATAAGCATCTTCACTCGCAATAAGGCTCAAATAGGTGTTGAAGTCCTTGCACTTCGAGCCGTCGGGGACAAATCCATTCCAGAGCACTTCATAGCGATCACGGTGACGAGTCAGGTGCGTGACCACTTCAGCTCGCAAGGCGCGAGGGTTAGTCGGCCGGTCGGAGACACGTGCATGAGCACACTTGAAGCTATGAAAAAGACAAGCTCCATCACCGGGCACTGCCTGGCGCACAACGCCTGCCGCACTGCCGACTTCGCACATTGCGCTGTGCTTGCCACAAAATCTGCACTCCAAGGTTCACAAAAACCGCGCCTGCCACAAGAGGTTCAAAAAGTCTAGCGCCTGCGCTGGAAATCTGGGATGCAATATCCACGCGGACAAAGAGTGAGACGATTCACAGGATATCATAGGATGTCTGATTGAACAACTGACAAGCCTCATTTGTTTCGCTTTACTTTTGGCTCAAGATGAAAACAAGGGTGCAGCATTGTGAGCTCCGCGCCCCGCCTCTTGTTGCTTTTGGGGCTGGTTTGCCAGGTCAAGTGGAATTACCGGTGTACCTTGAGACTTGATTTTAGAGTGATAAAACGAAAAACCAGGCTCCGAGGGCAGCAATCAAGCATCAACCTCCTGCAGTGCTGGAAACATACTCTCTATAGAATCGAGTGCCTCAGGGTATGGGTGTTCATCATCATGAAAGTTTGATAGCAAAAAATTAGAAAATCAATGATGCATTGCCAAGGTTGGTTTTGATTCTATAGAGCAGTGTGGGGACATATGAAGGTTGAAATTGATTTTAGAAAAATATATGGAGGTTGACATTGACATATGAAGGTTGAAAATCCTACCTGACCGCACAACACACCATCCACTCTAAACTCACCTTCTACTGCCCCAGATGCTTTCTGTAGAATCAAATGTTAGGACCTCTGAAAAATCTGGTGACATGGCGTGCCCTCTCTATAGAATCAAATGTCGGCACCCATTTTTAGACCAAACTGACTTTTTTGGACCCCATGTTTAAAATGCGGCTTTTCAGATAGGTTGATATTTTATACTATGGAAGAGAACGGTCTATAATAACAAAATCTGAGGGTCACTTTGAGCTCAACACGCGGTAGGACATGCAAACCTTCAAGCGCAAATTGAATTCAGGTGCCCGCGCGCACTGTGCACCAGGCATATGGAGATGCAAGCGCAACGTTCATACACGCACCGAGACTGAGACCGAGACACAACAAAACCTAAGTGAGACACCAACCAAACATGAGCCAAACACCACCGAAACAAAACCGAAACATTGCCAACACATTACAAAAACATTGCCAACACACCACTAAAACAGCACAACGGAGAGACCACCCAAACATGATCGAGACACCGGGACGCCACCCGACCAGCCGGCGGGCTGTGGATCCGACAGCTAAAGATGTCAAGCTATCATAAACTAACAAGATATTGGGGAACAAAGTAGAGCTAAATGAAGTTAGAACATGTTAGAACGCATAAGGCGGGTTGACGAGCACTCCGCACCGAACCCGGTGCACCTGGACAACCAACACCCTCTCGTTATTCTCGTTTCTGTATTTTTTGAACACTAGAGATGCTTGTTCGTAAAGTGACTGCCGGCATTGCTATGGCAGAAAGCCTGTTGAGAAGGTTCACGCTCGTGGAAGGACCCCCTTCCTTCCACAACTGCTCTGGGCTAGAGGCATTGTTTGGGTCCTTGTAGCTCACAAACGCAATCCCCTTGTTGCCAGGCGGAACCTGGGCACGACAAATACGATTCCTGCAAGAATTGGAAGTTTGGATCATTTGAGGCTTCAGCATAGCAATCCGAGAGCTCACCAAATCTGCAGAAGTAGGCCTCCAGTGCATGTCTATTGCGTAGCACGAAAGATCCACAACTCTGAATGCCAGCTGGCCTCGAAGTCAAAGTCTGACATATGTACTCTGGGCATATGTTGCACTGATTCAACGGTTGGTTGCTACTTTCGTCAGCGTACCACATCCCCACCACCCGGTCACCACCCCTACCCTCCAGTTTCAATATGCTGGGCAAGCAACAGAACGGCTTCCAGAACACCAAATGCAGGATGTTGCCGCTACGCTAGTGAGGGTCCATCTGAGATATCGTTGCTTCTCTCTGCGGCGTGGGTCTCGCGCATGTCTACATGAACATCTTTTGCATCAATGTAACGCAATCACTCTTCCGGCTATGCAGGGAAACACGCTGAGTTACCCTTGGAAGAAAACATTGGTCGATCAATCTTGATCCTTGTTTACACCCAGCTCAACATGCGACAACCCTGCAGCCTTTTTCCTTTTCTGACTCATCCTTTGAGATTTATGGCTAGAGCCTCAACACGCACACTTGCGGCCCAGGGCATGGCAGGTGAAACATATGCTATAGCTTATGCGCATTGAAGGTCGAGCCTTTCCTCACAGCTTGGAGCGCACAGAAGTTGATGACGTACGGGTCTCTGCTTTGAGAGCATCTTGCCGACTGGCCTGCCACGGGTGTTGTTGGTCAAAGGCACCCGAACCCAACGTCCACAGCGCCTCCTCTTTCGCTTCTTTCTCCAAAAGCTCCAGCCGCTTCAACGCATGCCGTTTCCTTGGCAAAAAAAAACACCCCAAATGTCACAACCATGCCAAAATGAACTTCTGCATCTCCCTTTTGTGTCCACTTTAACCGAGCTGAGCTGCCTGGCAGCCATTCCTAAGCCGTGCGACCGTTCGAAGCTTGGATTGTGAATGGATTATTGAGAAACTGAAATGATCAAGAACGACTTCTCCCTGTTGGCACCTGGCTCATTTTTGGAACACATGAAAAAGAGATATTCTTCATTTATATAGATCTCCTTGTGCCGACCAGCTCCACCGAAGTCAATCGAACAAAAACACGCTGGGGATACTTGTGCGGTATTCCTGGGCAATTCCTCATATCTGTCATCTTGCTTTTGGGTCAGATATATTATAGAAGCAAAAACAAACAAGGAGGAGTTGAATTCACCCCACACATGACTCCTTTCCAAAAACATCCAGAAACCCTCATTGCGGTAGCTTTGATGAGTCGATCAATCTAAATCCAAACTCTGACTCTAAACTCTAAACGTCTTGCTTCCACAATGCCTAGGGCGCAAAGGATTTCAAGAATCTACATGTCCCACGTCTTCTGAAAACTTCCCATTCCCAAGACCAAACTATTCAACCATCTCAAACCCACGGCGAGTCTTCACGTTCCAACCCGAGCGGCGGCTGGGTAGCTTCAAACGCTCCACATCCAAGCGCCAGAAGGAGCGCTCCTCCTCATCTGCCGCAGAGGGCCGGAGCTCCTCAGACCACTTCGAACGACTCAGAGCTGCCTGACAGGCACTGCCTGAGGCCTGGAAAACCTGGAACAAATGTGAAAAAAAGAAGATGTGGGAACATCCGTAGAGGCAAATGTTTGATCATGTCTCTCTGATCGGGTTCACCCGAAAAAGAGTTGTCAACACGTTATGCAGGGTTGAAAGAGGCGAACAGCGTCGAACAACTCAATTCCAAGAAGTCCTCGGTCAATCTTGCCAGTGCCTCCGTCGCAGGTAGAACCTTCAGGTTCTCCAAATATGTACAAACAGGAGATAGCAGGCCCACGGGGAGGATGAAGTTCACACGCGGCATGACGAATCCATCCTGTCGGGTTTGAAGTCAAGAACCAGCGTATCGGGGCCTATCGGTAGACTTCAATAGGCATTCTTGCTTCGCAGAACTCTGCTGCCACTCTCTCCAACAGGGCACCTGTTGCTTGACGTTGGTGGTGACCATGCCTAACAGCCTCAAGCATTCACCAAGCAAAGCCGCCGGTGATCTGTGATTTAGAGAACTGCACGCGGATGTCTAAAGCTCACGTAAGGGTAACCTCGTGTTTGGGGTTGTGTTGGCTGATTGTTTCATGATCATGCTGCAGTTACTTGTTTGGGGGTGTTGTGTGAATTGTTGTGCAAGCTTTTATTGAATGGCACGACAAACACACCCCATCGTCAACCTTGACCACCAAAGATTTCCCTTAATTAACCACAAGGCGACAAGGGAAAAATAATCTTACAGTAACCTTGTTCTGTTGTCCACGTGGTTGTGGGAAACTTTCTTGTGGTGGCAGAATGACGACACCCGTCAGCAGACGCAGCCAACAGCCGTTGGAAGGACCGTTTCGGTCAGCGGCCATCCCTTGGAAACCTGGGGTTTGGGCAAATATGTGGCAAAGGTATTGAAGAAAGAGAGGCCAAAACACAAGGGTGCTTGAGCCTGGCCCATCCTTTAACAAGGCCCCCTTTAAAGGTGCTTAAGGGTGCTTAACGTATTCTGCGTGGTTCATGGCTAAGCACTCGCAGGTCAAGTATGAGTGTCAGCGGATGTACAGCGTCAGGCAGTTCGAGCACATCCTGACTTACATGACAGAGGATCACCTTTCCATGGTCATCAAGAGCGGTTTTTGTCCGACAAGCTGGTTGAGTCGACTGGAACATGTTTTTAATAAAGTGAAGCGAACCAGTCCTGAACAATGACTAGGGCCCAAGGTTCTGGAGTGTTCTTTCAGCCTTTCTTGAAGATATAAGTTTGGTCTGCCTGTGCCCGTGCCCCCCGTGTGCCTTCCGGCTAACATATCCAAGAGGCTGCCCATTGGCCACTAGGGCCCCGCCACTACACCCGCGGTGTACCGCTGCGCTACTTTGAAGGATGGCACGCCGCCCTGAGGAGGCCCGCACCACTTTGCAGAGAAGGCCTGAGCACCCGACAGGATCTGTGGAGCCTCTGTGCTCGACAGAAGACAGTCTCAATATAGATTCATTGTAACTCGCCAGTTCCTATTCACTGGCCAATGATGGCTAGAATGGCTCAAAGCCAAGCTCTCCCGACACTTCAGTCGCCACAAGGCATCAGCTCTGAGGCGGTTCTGTGTCTTTTTCTCTCTCTCTCTCTCTCTGAGCTGTGGCGAAAACCTATTGGAACTGCCTTTGGCAACAGGCTATCGCGTGGGGTGTTTCGCCTTTCGCGGGCATACACTGCTTGTTCAGCCCTTTTCCCTCGCACTGTGACTCTTTCTATGGATTAACACCGGGTCATGGCATCAGTGCAGCTCTGGCACCTGAAGTCGCAGCAGGGCCCTTCCACGGACATCCAGGGCCGAAAAGGCCATGTCCGACAGCCCAGACCTCAAAGCAACGAGTGACCAAAGGCCAAAAGGAGGATTCTCTCCAATTTCTGCGACAAGCACGCTGTGTCTTATGTATGTAGGTTCTACAGGCAAGTCACTTAGTGTACATATATATATATAATTATACTATATACCTCTCTCTCCCTCTCTGGGGCTCGCCTCTATCTATCGCAACCTGCACTGCCCGTCACTTCTGCAATCTGCGCACCTCGGTGCCCTCGAGGGGATCGGCCCTTTGGTTCCACAGCGCTGGGTTGAACTTGTACTCCTTCTCACTCCTGGCGTCGGGGTCCAAACGCGCACACACACACACACCACAAAATCACAGAAAATGCATTGTCACGCAGCCACATAATATAGCTCCTCTCGGGCCTCACACGGAGCAAAGCAGCATCAAGGAAGCCATCAAAGATCCGCAGCACGTCCGCTTCAAATGTGACGGAGACAATCTTGCCCTAGACGAACTGTCCGCATCACGAAGACCATCTTGCCACTACGTGAAATAGGATATGATGCGGTACCCCAAAACAGGTGTTTGTTCATGTATTTGCTGGCTTTATGGCCCAGCCGTTTGAGCTACCTTCCAGGCTTCTACATCTGCATCGCCTACCAGACTTCACGCTGAGACGTCTGCTTCCGTTGATCCTTTCGCTTTCCTATTTTTGCGCTACTTTTCAAACCCAGTGTTCCCTCAGCACTATATATGTACTATATGTGTGGATTAATGCATATATACATACATGCATTATTCCAAATCATTCCAAATCCAATTTGCGCCCCTCATGTCCTCCAAAAACCACTGCCATTTTGACTTGATCGGAGCCTGGACTTCTGCAAAGCAACTCCCCCTGCAGCGCGATGGCGCACGTGGCTGTTGCTGCAGCCCCTTGCCCTCCTGGTCAAGGATTGTCAAAGGCGATGATTGCAACTGGCTAGGTGGATTCCGTTTGGGGGCGGAGTGCTGGCTCACTTGCTTGCTTGCATCTTTGGCTTTAGCTTTGCTAACCTTGCCCACAACAATGTCTAGGACCAGGAAGCTCCCCCCGACTCAACTGCTACAAATAATTCATATGATCATCCAACTGGGACACCCGCAGTTCCGCAAGCGACCAGAAACCAAATTGTCGGCCGGTCCGCACGGAGCTCCATCCAGGAGTTGCCCAGCAAGAGATGTGCGCAGGTCAGCAAGTGCCCCTCACTCGACAAGACGATGGCAGAAGCCCAGCTGCCGGAGTCCAGCCACAAGAGGGCCACGCCTTGTCTCACCTGTGCGCTTGGCGCTCTGATGGAATCAAGGGAGATCTAAGGGGTCCACAAGTAGATCAAAACCATGTCCAAATTGTTTATTATATATGTATACCTACACCATCCTACACCACTACAGGGCACTCACCGTCACCTCTCTCGCACCATTCTTTTTTAACAATAAACTACATGATGGATTTAAGATTGTTGGCTCTGTATGTATTTGGAGGGCATGTGGACAACACTGTAGCCCTACCAGCTCCCCCACCTCACTCGGGGGCAGACTCACTGTGCTGGGTGGACTTGGCAAAGAGGCAAGATCTTCATGGCAAAGTTGGGCACGACCTAAAACAAGTGTGTGCATGTGTGAGTCATGAGTGTTCCCAGCTGATCGATGGGGTCCGCACATGCCGCATCATCCAGCATGGTGTCAAGCACAACTGGCATAGGGATGACAATCCCAAGGGCTACAGCTTCTCCTGATCACGGCCACGGCAACTTTTTGTTGGTCACCATGCGCCGACGTGGAGAACCAGACCCCACACAGGCTGCTCTAAATGACAACTTCTGCTGTGGGAGACCACACCCGGGCGCGCCGCGCAATTGCACGCGCAATGGTCCTGAGGAGCCGCATAGGGTTGGCGCCAGCAGTCCCACGACCTAAGTCGTGATCTCCGGATCCGCAACGACAAAATATGGAGCTTCCTGCCATACAAATCTGCTTCCTGCGTGTAGTAACAACAAAAGACATAGTCATTCATGGCCAAGGGGTGTGAGTTGTGTGTCCAAACCACGTGCAAACATGAACGTCGCACCAATTTCTGCATCGAACTTGGTCTCTGCACCCCTGGAGACAGTTTGTTATTGAAGAGCCAAACCCCAACCCTGCCTCGTTGGTGCCTTCTAGCACCAAAGCTCCCCCAGCAGAGCTCTCAGCTCCAGGGGCATCCGTCAAAATGAGCCCGGGAGGGCTCGAGAGGTTGGAGATCACACCTGTGACACCGACAATTCTTCAGACCCTGGCGCCTGCACTTATGCATCCTAAAGAGTGCGGACTCATGCCCCACCAGTTTCAGGCCCGAGGATCCTCACTTATTTCCATGTCAGAAAAAAACGTGGCCTTGTGCCATGTCTTCCTGCGCTCTTTTCGGCCCAGCCTCGCATCACCACCCTGAGCTGGGACCAGAAGCTCCCAGCCCTTGCTCCGAAGGGCGCTGAGTGCAACAGCACCCGCTGTCCAATCCACTGCTCCACGGGCTCCGAAAAGGAAAGCCACAGCGACGCCTAAACGTGGGACGAGACGTGGGGACGCGACGTGGGAGGGAATCGCCAGGCTGCCATGAGAAGCAGCCTGGCTAAGGTGTGACAAGCGCGGCAACGAGGCTTCCCATGTACTGCAGTGGAGAATGGTGAATTTTTGTGCGTTTCGTTCCAGAGTGTGCTTGTTTGTCTGGCTGCAATCTGTGCCACCGAGATGCCACCATGAGAATCTGATCAAGGGTATCCTATGGTATCACCACGTATCCTTAACGCTTTTTACTTGTGCAACACCTCAACCCCCAATCAACCAGACAGTAACATTAATTGACATGTCAAACTGCCAGCACATCAAGTACACAAAACCTGTGCTGCTGCCCTGATTTCTCTTCGTTCATCCGCGGCATGCTCTCCCGCCTTCTCTTTGCTCTTTTTGCTCTTTTTGCTCGAACTGGGGTCAGCCACAAACTGGCTCGAACTCGGCCGCAACAAAGTGAGTTGTAGCGCACTGGTCATCGAGATATCAAAGAGTTTGTTGCCACAGCGCCAGCCACGGGACGCCAAGCTGCGAAAAGCCTCCGAGGAGGCGCCCAAACGTGCAGAGGCCACCAGCTGAGCTTCGACCACCAGACCATTGGGCAAAGTCACAGCCAGCTGACTGCCTTGTTTAATGAGGCAGCTGGTGAGGATCAAAGGCCTCTCAGGCCAGCAAAGCAACAATCCAGAGGCTGACACCACGGCATAGTTTCCCAAGGGTGGCTTCACCTCCACGGCCACAACATGGCAATCCATAGTGCACTCATGGCCCGCTGCACCCCAGAACCGTGGCTTTAACAGCTGGTGTCATGAAGTGGCTAGTCGGAGGTTGCTGCATTTTTTGCACTATGCTTCGCTGCTGGTTTCCCTTTCATTTGGCTGTTGGTAGTTCAGGTGTTTTTGACGGCCTTCTTTCTAGGCTACATGGGACATCTGCGCACATCTCTCAGCCTCTGACGCGCCACTCTGAGAGATAAAGCTACCCAGCTCAACTCACATAAGGCTTGCGCATGAGATGTCTGCCAAGTTTCTTCTTCGGCATCAGTAGACATCACATCGAACGCAATGACCACACGCTGAAACGCAATGACCAACGCGGGGTTTCTTCGTTTGTTTCGCCAAGGCCTGCAGGTCAGCTCTAGTAACGTCTGGAGACACCTGCAAAGAACAAACTCTGGTGGCGATCCACCGCTAGGATCCAACAGTCACATGGAGCCCATTGCCAACTCTTTTATCTGCCTCGCTGCAGCCTGACTTATCAAAGTCTTCAACCAACTCAATGTTCCTACAATCATCTGCACGTGCTCCTTTAAAAAGCATTGCTTAGGCTTAGACATCTACAGGGCTGTTTGAAATTTAGCCTTTTCACTTGAAGAAAGCTCAGCCTGTATCTGGCCGAGCTCCAAGCCAACAAACATGGGGCTTTTAGCCAACTGGCCAACTGACGTTCAAAAGATCGAATCAAAATCTTGTGGCCTGGGTTGCACTACCACACAGGCAACCTCAAGAGAGCTTCAATTGGTTGGGCACCTGTCCCGCCACACCGCCGCTGATATGAGCCAACTTCACCTTAGCGACAAGCTGTCAACCCCTTCACCAGCTGGAGCAATTGCCATCACCAGTCCGAAGTCAGCAGTCTCAAGAGTCGTTCTGGTCAGCCGCATCAGCTATCTGAGGCCAGCGCAGCCGGGACAACAAACAAGGACCCTGCCAGAGGATATTGCTTGGCCTTGGCCTCATCAAAGCCTTCTCGTCCTGTGGTGAGGTATAGATCTCGCATTTCACTGCCACCGAAGGCCACAGAGGTCACCTCAAGCTCGGCTCAGATCTACTCGTATGACTTGGGTAGAAGGTTATTGTCGGCCCCGCAAGAGGCACTTTGAAGGAAAAGCATATCCGCAAAGCTTCCTCGCTCTTACAAATGAGCGAAGAAGGAGTTTGCAAGGCCTCTTTTTCATCGCCCACGCCTGTTTTCCGGCCTCTGCAGGTACGCGTACTTCTGCTAGCAGCTTGCCACTCTTTGGGTCGTAATAACCACAGCAGCCGCCATTGAAACGTGCCACCCAGAGCCTGTCCTAGTCATTCGGATTTGAGCATGTTTCACCGGAAGAAACTTACTGCTCAACGGGTGGCATTGCACCAAAAACGGCCGTGACACTAAAACCAATCATGGTTTTGGAATGTAGCTTAGCACGGTTGAGCATAACCACGATCTTGTGCATAGCTGCATGTGCACATCTATAGCATGGCATATGGATAATAATTAAGACATTAATGTTACATCTATGCTGGAAATTGTCACACAACATGCAAATCGGCATCATCCCATGCAAATCGGGGTCCTCCTGGTCAATGGCACACCTGAGCTGCCCGCAGAAGCTGAGGCATTCTCACAAACGAACTCTGGGAAACAAGCACACCATGGCATACAACGGACTTGTGTCTGCATTGCCCTCGGCCTGAGCCTAAGTTCAACTGAACTGTAACCTGTGGAATCGAAATGCTGGCGCCATCTTGTTGACTCTGCCAGCCAAGATTCCCATCTGGAAATCCAGTGGTCTCGAAGTCAAAGCCCTTCACGACTGGTCGTCGATTTGAAAGGGTGCCAGAGCTGGGGTCGAAATCCAAGCGATCAATCTGAGCGGATGGCGTATCAATGAAATACATGCTCCGAGCGTCCGTGGTCCAAACCAAACCATTCGAGATGCTGAGATCTGTGAGCACGGCTTTCACCGAGCCATCGAGATCTCGGCAGTACAGGGTGGCTGCTCCAGAGATAATCTCAGAGGACTCATCCCGCGCCAAGGTTCCAGCCCAATAGCATCCACGAGGATCCACCTTCCCATCATTGAAACGCTCTCCGTGTTTGATGGGCGGGTCGTTGCCCAGCTTATGGAGGCCTCGAGTGCGGAAGTTGTAGATGGCCTCACGTTTCAAAGTCAGCAAAAGAGTGCCTTTTATACAGCGTATACATATATATATATATATAAAGATGCAGCACTCATTTCTTTTGTTCCACTTCGCAGCGATTTTGTCAGAATTTGATAAACTCAACTAGTCATGACACCTCAACAGTCAGATCACGGTACCCCTACCAGTGAAAAGTCGGTCCCAGCCACCCGGCCACACCCTGGGTGGTGGGATCCGCTCTGCTTGACCTACTTAAGCCGAGCCACACCTCCGAGACTGAGTAGGCATCAAGCACTGACCGTGGGTGTCGAAAAAAGGGACGAAACGAAAAGCGCTTTTTCCCTTGCCTTTTCTGGATCTCTT